AAATACCAACAGCATTTTTCACAGAACTAGAACAAATAATCCTAAAATGTGAAACCACAAAAAACCTTTCATGACTAGGTTTTTAATCTATCTGGAATCAATTTTTGTGCATGAAGTAAAGTAGGACACCAATTTAAATTTTTTTCCATATGGAGGGGTGTCTGGGTGACTTAGTTGGTTGAGCATCTGACTCTTGATTCCAGCTCAGGTCATGATTCCAGGGCATTGGGATTGAGCCCCATGCAGGCCTCTGAGCTGTGCACAGCACCTGCTTAAGATTTTCTCTCTCTGCCCCTCTTCCCCCTTCATGCTCTCTCTCTGTCTCTCTCAAATTAAAAAAAAAAAAAAAATCTACATTTTTTTCCATATGGATATCTAAGTACCAATTTTAAAAAGGTCCCTCCTTAGGCCTCTACTCTGTAGAAGCACTTCAATAAATAATCAAGTTTCTAGATACATATAGAAATGAATCTGGGTTTCCTATTGTTTTACACTGGTTTTACACTATGCTAATACTAAACTGTTTTAATCACTATAAACTGTTTTTATCACTGGTTCTTGAGAAATGTCTTGGCTATTCTTAGTCCTCTGCATTTCCATATATATTTTAGAAAAGGCATGTAATTTTGAGCTCTGCAATTTCTGGTCAAACTGGTAAAATACCCACAAAATGAATCTAGATCAGTGGTTCCAAACTAGAGCAATTTTAACAATGTCCCGCAGGGACATTGGACACAGACATTTCTGGCTGTCACAAAATGCCAGATACTACTGGCATCTAGTGGGTTGAGTCCTAGGAGATGCTACTAAACATCCCACATTGCATAGGACAGTCCCCATAACAAACAATTATCCCATTCAAAATATAATAGTGCCGGGGCGCCTGGGTGGCGCAGTCGGTTAAGCGTCCGACTTCAGCCAGGTCACGATCTCGCAGTCCGTGAGTTCGAGCCCCGCGTCAGGCTCTGAGCTGTCGGCATAGAGCCCGACATGGGGCTTGAACCATGAACCATCAAAACATGACCTGAGACGAAGTCAGACGCCTAACCGACTGAGTCACCCAGGCGCCCCTCTTCCTGTCCTTTATAGCAGGGCAGTGCGCAAGAAGTTTATTGAAGGGGTTAAGTCTTTAAAATATAAAATTATAAAGAAATAAGACCTATCTAGAATTTAAAAAAAACACAAAACACACCTCCTAGAAATCAGTAAGAAACAACCCAATAGAAAAATGGGCAAACAACTTAAATAGGCAATTCATTGAAGAGGCTATTCAAACGCTCAATAAACATATAAAAAGAGGGGCACCTGGGTAGCTCAGTCGTTTAAGCATCCATATCCGACTGCTGGTTTTGGCTCAGGTCATGATCTCACGGTTCCTGGGATCAGGATCGAGGATGGAGCCCCGAGTTGGGCTCTGTGCTAACAGCACAGAACCTGGTTGGGATTCTCTCTCTCCCTCTCTCTGCCCCTCCCCTGCTCACATAGTGCACTCTCTTTATTAAAAAAAAAAAAAAAAACTTAAAAATAAGAGAAGATAACATAGAAGGCTAATAAGCACATGAAATTATGCTCAACTGTCACAAGTGATTAGGGAAATGTAAATTAAAACCACAATGGGATACTACCACATACCTATTAGAATGGCAAAAAAAGTGCTGACAAGGATATAAAGAATTGGGAACTCCCAACCACTGCTGGTGAGAATGTAAGAAGGTAAAACCACTTTGGGAAACAGTCTGTAAGGTTCTTAAAAAGTTAAACATAAATGATCTAGTCCTATCACTTCTAAGTATTTAGTCAAGAAAACTGAAAGCATATATGTCCATAACAAAGACTTATACACAAATACTCATAGTGGCTTTATATGTAATAGCTTAAAAACAGAAACAACTCAAATATAAATCAACAGGAGACTGGAGAAACCATTTGTAGTATATCCATACAATAGAAAATTACTTGACAATAAAAAGGAACAAAGCATTGATACATGCAACAACATGGATGAATTTCAAAAGAATTATGTTAAGTGAAAGAGGCTAGATAAAATAAGTGTACAAACTATGATTCCATTTATATAAATTCCAGAAAATTCAAACTAATCTATACTGACAGAAAGCAAATCAGTGGTTGTTTGGGGAGAGTGAATCATGGAGGGTTGGGAAAGAGGGATAACAAAGGGGCATGAGAAAACTTTTGAAGGTGATGGATATGTTCACTATCTTGATGCTGCTGAAAGTTTAATGAAGGTACACCTATGTCAAAATTTATCAAAGTGTACCTACCATGCATATATATAGTCATGTCAGGTATATTTCAATAAGGCTGTTTTTTAAAAAATACAGGTTGTATAGGGGCGCCTGCATGGCTCAGTCAGTTAAGGGCCTGACTCTTGATCTCAGTTCAGGCCATGATCTCATAGTTTGTAATTTAGAGCCCTGCATCGGGCTCTGGGCTAGTTGTGTGGAGTCTGCTTGGGATTCTGTCTCTCCTTCTCTCTGCCCCTCCCACTTGTGCATGCTCATTCTCTCTCTCTCTCTCTCTCAAAATAAACGTAAAAAAAAAAAACAAAAAAAAAAAACAGGTTGTATATAAAGATAAACCAAAGTTCCTATAATTATCTCAAAGTCAATTCCACTCATTCATACAATAAATCTTTAGCTAGCACCTACTATATGCCAGGCACTCTGCTAGGCACTAAAGATTCAATGACAAGCAAACTGACATGGTCCCTGACCTCATGGAGTACATAGTTTGCTAGGGGAAGCTGAGATTGATAAATGATGAATACAGACATATGGATAATAAAACTATGACAAGTGCTATAAAGGAGAGGTACACAGTGAGAGGACAGAACATAATACAGAAACCAAATCTAGTCTGATAGAAAGGTCAGTATGGCTCCTTCAAGGAAGTGACATTTAAGCTGAGACCTAAAGGAAAAGCAGGAAAACAAACTGAAAACGGGATTTTTCTCAGAAGAGACACTATAAACAAAGGCTCTAAGGCAAGAGAAAGCATAACCCTCTTAAGGAATGGAAAGAAAGTCAAAAGGGCTAAGGGTCAAAATAGTGTAGACAACACTGGGGCACCTGGGTGGCACAGTTGGTTAAGCATCTGATTTAGCTCAGGTCACGATCACACGATTTGTGGGTTCAAAACCCGTATCTGGCTCTGTGCTGACAGCTGGGAGCCTGGAGCCTGCTTTGGATTCTGTGTGTGTGTGTCTCTCTCTCTTCTCTGCCCCTATGCCACTCATACTCTGTCTCTCTCTCTCAAATATAAATAAACATTGGGGCACCTGGGTGGCCTAGTCAGTTGAACATCTCACTTTGGCTTAGGTCACGACTTCGCAGGCCGTGAGTTCAAGCTCCACATCGGGCTCTGTGCTGACAGCTCA